TTTTAATCTGTCTTTTATCTTTGGTTTTTGGGGCAAACCTGGTTAACTTTAGTGGTTTATCAAAAAAAAAACAGGAATCTGATCTGAAACTAGTCAGATGAATGAAGCAGAGTAAGTTAGAGTTTAGTATTCCCCCCTGAACGGCAGGATAACTTGATCTATGCTTCCACTGTTTGATCTGTGATGTTTGTCTGAGGCGACACACTCGCTGATCATCAGTATCTGAGCGTTTGCGTCCTGGTCAGACTGATCTGTGGCCTCGGCGAGGCGGCAGCAGCAGCAGCAGCAGCAGCAGCAGCGTCTGTGGCTCCTCTGGCAACTCGCTTCCTGTGCGCTGACAGTAATACTTGTTTCACTCTCGGTGAAGAAAGAGGAAATGACAGAAGCAGAAGCGAAGCGCTCAGGCAGGAGATTTAGAATCAAAAGTGTTAAGCAACGCGCACATGGTGCATTATCTCACCGGCGTCTGCATTTACAGACACGTCGTCCGTCCGTCCGTCCGTCCGTCTGTCTGTGCTCAGCTCAGCTTCTTTTTAGACCTTTGTGACTGTTGGGAAGTTAAAATAAGCAAAAGCTATTTTTGACATCATAACTTCACCACATACAGAAACACTTACAGCGAAGATAACTGCCGGCTGATCATTTACATCTGATAAGACAAAGTTCTTACTTCCTCCTCTCCTCTTCAAAAGCTCATTTTCTGTGTATTGATATTGTTTTAGCTGAATTTTGGTCTTAACTTGCTCTGAAACCAGAACAGTTTCTGGGCATTTGTTGGGTTTTCTTTTTTGCTTCTGTCACATTTTTCCGATGTAGAGAGAAGTCAGAAGTGTTTCTGTGCAGCTTGATGTTGTTGTAATGCCAGAAATCACAAGAAAAATACAAACTAAAGGCGAGTTTCTTGGAAAAAGCTTCAGCATTTTGCCCACAGGTGTTACTGATAGTGGAAAAGTGGCTGCCCTCATTCTGTAGATATTTTAATGCTCACATTTTATTTTATTTTTTTCATCCTTGTCTACTATCTGCTCTGTAGAGACACAGTTCAGCCCAATTCAGGTTTTTTTTTTGGTTGTTTTTCGGTTGCACCAAACAGTGCTGGTTATTTATTCACACAGGATTACAAGCGATTTAGATTTTGATGAATTATTATGTTTTTAGTTGGACCTGGAAATCCAATCAACTGTTATTTATATCACACATTAAAGTTCTTTCCAGATTGTCACTACCAGTTAACCAAACAAATCTAAATATTGAGGTTAAGGCCCTATGCTGTTGGTTATGATGTTAATATTTTTGGGTATTTTACATATTAAAGTTTTAAACCATAGAAAAATGTAATAAAATACAACTTTACCTGACTGTGATACATAATAAAGCTGCAGTATTGTTAATTATGGAGCTTAAGCTTGTTAGTTTTATTATGAAGCTACATCATAAATAATGAGAGAGATGAGCCTGATTTTTTTTTAACAAAATTTATCACCCTCCAGAAATATACATGAAAACCAAACAGATCCAAGGATTCCCTGGATCTCCTATGAACAAGCTTTGTTTTTATTTTAATCTTATGTGGATTGTTTGTCACTTGATTCATTCAAAAACTGTTGGGAAGTTTGGGCCCCCCTATAGCTCACCTGGTAGAGCGGGCGGCCCATGAACAGGGGCTGTAGTTCCCGATGCAGCGGTCGTGAGTTCGAATCCCACTCACGACCCTTTGCTGCAGGTCTGTCCCCATTCTTCTCCCCCCTTCCTGTCTCCCTCTATTGCACTAAATAAAGGCAAAAGCCAAAAAAAAAAAACTGTTGGAAAGTTCAAAATCTGCCTTTCTTGCATTAGTTTTTTTATTTTCTGGTGTAATTGTATGAAACTACCATTTGCATTTTAAACCTATCGACACGTTTTGTGGTTCATAAAAGTTCAACCTTCTCAGCACCAAACGGCTGAAGTTAGCTGCTGAAGAAAGTTAAAGATGTAAAGAGCTAAATATTTCCATCGAGACTTAAACTTGTGTGCAGCCCAGAATGTGTCTGCTGGCTGCTTAAATAAGAGTTCACCGTGTTAGTGTTTTGCTTACAGGACCTGCACAGCCAGGAAGTAGCTCACAACTAATTAACGCATCTTTAAAAACTGTTGTTGCAAGAATTAACACCTTCACATGTCTTTTTCTCTCTCCAGGCCAAAATGCTTTCCAATGCAAACTCTTCAGACGGTGAGTTTATCGTCTTCATGCTTCCTAATTCTGCACCTTTTTATCAAAATCAACTATAAATAAATAATAAGGTCAGCCAGTTGTATTTCTGGACCTGCTGTCACCGCCGCTGAACAATATGTCATTTTTAAAAGCCAGAGTAGACGCACAAAAACAAAACCTCTCAGCTCGAGAGAGGAAAGAGCGTCGGCGTGGGTGCAGACGATAGCCCCTCTCACCACACAGCCCTCAGCTCGCAGCAGACCCGCCCTGCTGCTATTATTATCACGCATACCAGGAAGTCACACAGTCAAAGTACGTATGGGGAACCCGGTGTTAGTGACAAAGATAAGCTCTGTTCAGTATTTAAACACAGTGGAAAGAAGAAGAAAAAACAACAACGCACTCAGTCATGCTCGCACATCATGAAAAAACATCTTTCATAGGGTTCATGCTCGTCGCTTTCACATGACAATGCAACAAGGGGCATGTTTTAAAATGCACATCGTGATGACTGCATGTCAACCGGAGGCCCTTTCTCTGCTGTCTTTCCTCTGCAGGCGAGAGCATTGCCATGGCGCTGTACGACTACGAGGCCATCCACGAAGGAGACCTCGGCTTCAAAAAGGGCGACAAGCTCAAAATCCTAGAGGAGTACGTCAATGACAGTCGATCTTTGCTGTTTCGGTTTTAATTTAGTCCGTGCATGTGTAAAGCTGATGGTGTGTCTCTGCAGGTCGGGCGAGTGGTGGAAGGCCATGTTGATCAGCACAGGCAAGGAGGGCTACATCCCCAGTAACTACGTAGCCAAAGACACCCTGGAAGCAGAGGAGTAAGTGGACTGAAAGCACCGTTTAGTTTCCACACACTTGTAAAGAGCACGTGTATCACGGCAGCCTTTGGTTTCCAGTGACTGAGTTTTCTTTGATGGAATCATTACGAAACACAAACCTTTGTCACAAGAAACCGTTCCGGAAAACACAAACTATCACCTGCTGCTGCTGAGAGACAGCTGGTCAGGATGGTCAGGAATCACCAAAAAGCAGGTCTGTTATGAATTAGAAGCTGCTGTCAGTGTCCTCAGGGTTTTACATCAACATGAGCTGAGAGGCTGATGGAGGAGGAAGTTCTTCCTCTAGAGGCAGAACCCTAAAGTTCAACTGGAGTTTGCTGCTGATTACATAGAAAAGAAAAGAAAGAGGCAGAAATGTGTTTGGAGGAGAGAAGGTGAGGCCTTTAACCCCAAGAACCAAAGCTACCATCGAGCATGGAGGTGGCAGCATCATGCTCCAGGGCAGTAAGTGGAATAACGAAGGAGGAGGATCACCTCCACATCCGTCAGAGAAACCTAAAATCACCAGCCAGATGGTTGAGCTGCTTATGGGCGGCTACAGAAGCGCCTAGTTGAGGTGAAAACGGCCGTTTAACTCGCTGTGTGTATAATGTTGTATTTTCAGAGGACCCATAAATATGAATCTATGACAGAACCCAAATGTATAATTGTTTATTTGTGACAGCGACTGATGTTTTTCAGTGATTCCATCGTAGAAAATGAAGCGTTGTCGTGGTCACTAGAAACTGAAGGCTGCCAACTTCTGTTCACGACTCTGAACTGTGAGAAGCTGTCAGTGGAATCACAGTGCATTTCTCTGCACTGTTTTTATCGTTCCTGTCGTAGTGGTGGTGGTGGTGGTGGTGTGTTTTACCTACGACACACAGCAGCAGCATCACACGCTGCGTCTGACACGTTTTTTTTTGTAGTGGAAAAATGAACGAGGAAACCAAGCACGCGATGTGAATAGAAAATGAGAACTCGTGCACCAAGAGCCGTTGACGTGTTTCACTGCTGACTGATCTCTTTCCTGTTGTTCAGATGGTTCTTTAAGGGCGTCAGCAGGAAAGATGCTGAGCGGCAGCTGCTGGCCCCCGGGAACAAAGTCGGGTCCTTCATGATCCGAGACAGTGAGACCACCAAGGGTGAGTCAACACACGGGCAGAGTCAAACTTTTTCTTGTCGTCATACAGAGCAATGAGTTGAAAGATTCAGCTTGTTCTACATACAGTACTTTAATTATTAGACTGGGACTCTAACCCTCTGAACCACAAGCTGTTTGGGGAGTTTTCTGCTCCTGTTACATCTTTACTCACTGTGGGCTCGTTTTTTACTGCAATATAAAGTCCTGCACCTCTATAGGAATTAGTATTTTGTGCAGTATAACACCATTATAATGCCATAAATCATAGAGAATAATAATTTTTATTAATCCCCTATTGGGGGAAATTTACACGCCACAGCAGCATCCAAAAATATAGAAAGAAAGTACCAGAAAATAACAATAATTAAGCAATATGCATCCCTGGTGTCCACACAGGACCAAGGCTCCACCGGCTCCGGTTGGGCAGTCCACACACTGGCTATGTAGAGACTATATGTCCTACTTAGATTTTAAATGTTCCATTCTTGTTTCCTCTCCACCAGCCTGGAGTTAAACCAGGAGGTTAATTGGTGATTCTAAATTGTCCGTAGGTGTGAATGTGAGTGTGCTTGGTTGTCTGTCTCTAAGTGTAGCCCTGTGATAGACTGGTTACCTGTCCAGGTGAACCTGCCTTCACCCTGAGTCAGCTGGAATAGACTCCAGCCCCCCACGACCCTAGTGAGGATTAAGCGGTGGATAGATAATGGATGGATGGACTGTTGGTCACTCCTGAGTCACTTTTGGCTTCTCAGCTGCACTGAAAAAAGCAGAAATTAAATTTTACAGAATTTGGTTTAAGCAAACTTGTAATTTTGGGGAAATGTTTTAGCTGAGACGTGTAGAGGAGGAAGGAACTCTGATGAAATGTCATGATTATAGATTTGTTTAGGTTTCTTTACTAAATGGCGCGTCACTGATAGGGAGTTCAAAAACTATCAGAAAAGTGAAATTCAGATTATTCTCTCTGTTTTTACCGTTTCTTGCTCTGATAAATTGTGTCATTTTGGATTTTTTTTTTTAAAAACATGCCACAACCTGCATTTTACACCCACCACAGATTTTGGCTTCAGAGTATAAACATCATTAACTTTCCTTTAAAACTGCTTATAAAGTCAACTTCACTGAGGATCAGAACCAGACTCTGCAGTTCTCTTTTTAGCATCTTTGGACTCACTGCGCTGGTGTTACGACTTACAGCTTCACTGTTTTGGTTCGCTGTCACGCTCTCATCAAGGCTCAGCTGTTTATAGCCTAAAAAGCCTTGATTAATGTTTTCTACACCAGCAGCCCAGTCAGTGACCAGCTGGTGAACATCGTCATAGAGCTAAGAGAGATTTCCTCAGGAATTGCTCCAGACCTAAAAAGACAGTGAATAATGACTCAGGATAAATACTAGTGTTGCTCAGGGACGTGTAAATAGGCAACTTTATGCCAACACATTATCCTAAATCAACTCAAAGCAGATATAAAACGTCCATTTTTTTGTTTCCAGCTTGTTTCTGCTTTCTCCATGTGAGAAAAAAAATGGCGTTTTTGTCACTCAGTTTTTAAGTTAAATCCTTCAGAATGAGTGACTATGGTGAGTAGTTTAAAGGTGCATTATGGGAAACGTAGGATGCAGGTTTTCTGGAGCTTCACCCATATTATCGTCTTAAATTCAGGATATCTTGACCTCTTGTTTTGATTATTCTTTGTTTAAATTAACAAAAAGATGTCCATTCTGAATCACTAGAGAAGCCTTTAAAGTTTCCCACGTTGATCTAAAGTCAGTCTCAGAAGTTGTCCCACGTCTTTTGGGAAATTCTGGATATCTGAATCCCTATTTTTAAATGTTTTAAAAATGCTGAATCGTCTAAAAATATGTGCTGGTATCAGTAAAAATGCACGTATGTTTGCATCAGCGTTGGAGAAATCCCCCGTGAATCGAATGCTGTTTCGTTTCTGTTCCACCACAGGCAGCTACTCTCTGTCGGTCCGAGACAGCGACATGCAGTCCAGTGACACGGTTAAGCATTATAAGATTCGTACGCTGGACAACGGAGGATTCTACATCTCGCCCCGCATCACCTTCGGCACCCTGCAGGAGCTGGTCGGCCATTACAAGAGTAAGTTAAAAGTTGTTTTACACAACATTTGATGGTTTTACTTCATCGTTTTAATCATCTTTGGACTTATTTAATGGTGAGCAGCTTCACATTCAGTCTGCGTTCCACCACCAAACATATATTACTCTCATAGTGATGTACAGCGCCCTCTGCTGGTCAGCTATAATACCTCAGCTAACATCAGGGACTGCATTGCTCTCTTATTAGCATAGCATCAGTTTCCACACAAACAAGAACAAGATTCACTCTGACCACTAGACATACAGCTGGGAACAAAAGTTTAAGAAGAGTTTCCAGTGATTCCTATAACTCTTATTTTCTGTGATGGACTCACTGAAACTCATGCAAAGAAAATATTTATTTATTTTTTATGGAAATATGACAAAAATCAGCTGGGTGAAAAATATACATACAGCTACTTGAATGATCAGTTTTGCAGTCGCAGTATTTACATTTTCGACAGCTGGCGACTCCTCTAAGCCAATTTAAATTGGGCCCATTTGATCCAGTCATTAGACTTAACCACAAACACCACCACGGAAAAGGCAAAGGACACAGAAGTCAGCGTCCACAGTCAAGTGAGTTTAACATCACAGGCTGAGAAGCTGCAATGGAAGAAGGAAGCTCTTTCTCTAGAAACCGTAAAGTTCAACTGAAGTTTGCTGCTGATCACATGGAAAAAGAAAAGTTCTGAAACAAATGAGCTGTTTGGCCACAATGAGCAGAGTTCTGTTTGGAGGAGAGAAGCCTTTAATCCCAAGAACACCAAACCTACTACCAAGCATGGGGGTGGCAGCATCATGCTCTGGGGCTGTTTTGGCGTCAGTTGAACTCGTGGTTTGAGGATTACCTCCACATTCTTCAGGAAAGCCTGAAATCACCAGACAGAAAGTTGGGTTTTAGAAGCAGATGGGTGTTCCAACAAGACCCTGATACCAAACACGCCAAAAGAAATGGATAAATCAGGCTAGAATTCAGGTTGTAGACTGGTCTCTCCAAAGTCCTGAGTTAAACCCAAGGTGGCAGAAAGCCAACAAATGAACATTTAACCAAATACTAGCATTGCTGTATGTATGTTTTTGCAGATTTTGTCATATTTCCAGAGTTATAGGAGTCTTTGGAAACTCATGAATGGTCTTTGCAAGTTATTTTTTTTTAAAACCATTGTTCACAACTGTAGACACAAAACCTAATCAAATCATGGACATTGTTTTCTGTTGCGTTCAGAGCAGGGAGATGGTCTCTGTCAAACCTTGGTTAACCCATGCCTGAGCCCCAAACCTGAGAAGCCGTGGGAGAAGGACGCCTGGGAAATCCCGAGATCTTCGCTCAAGCTGGAGAAGAGGCTCGGCGCAGGCCAGTTCGGAGAAGTCTGGATGGGTGAGACGAATCGCCGTAGAATCCGATTAGCGACACAGATGATAAAAACCCAACGACTGCTAATCGTAACTGCTGGTTTTTGTTTCAAGCCACGTACAATAAGCACACCAAGGTGGCGGTGAAGACCATGAAGCCCGGCAGCATGTCGGTGGAGGCCTTCATGATGGAGGCCAACCTGATGAAGACCCTGCAGCACGACAAGCTGGTTCGACTCAACGCCGTGGTCAGCAAGGAGGAGCCGATCTACATCATCACCGAGTACATGGAGAAAGGCGAGTATCTGTTCGTGTGTGCAGGGCGGCTGTGGGTCAGGTGGTCCTCCAATCGCAAGGTTGGTGGTTCGATCCCCTCCACAGTCGAAGTGTCCTTGAGCAAGACACTGAACCCAAAGTTGCTCCCATTTGCACTTGCAGATCTCAGACATATCATGATTGCCCTTTCACATGTATTCTTCTTCCTACAGGTAGCTTATTAGACTTTATAAAGAGTGATGAGGGGAATCGCGTCCAGCTTCCAAAACTCATCGACTTCTCCGCTCAGGTGAGGTTTATTCGGTCCTTTGTTCCACACATGCTGGCAGATCCACTGGTTGTTTGGTTGTGAATGAATCCTTTGTTTGTCTGCAGCTTAAATTTGAATATTCACAACATTTCCTAAGTGCGGTTCTAGTCTTTATACTCAATAAGAGAATTTGTGATTAGTAAAATAAAAAATACAGCTTCAAGGGTGTCCTCCAGTGTTAATTGTAAGTATTGGATGAGTTAGATATTTTTTTTACTTGTTGAAGATGCAGATTGCTCATTCATTTCACCCAAAACCACAAAAATTAACCTCCTGGTGGTTAATAGAAAGAAGATGGCATCAAAATACATCATCTGGGGAGCGAGAATGTACAAAATCCAACTCATCTGACCAGCCCATGTCCAGATGTTTTATTGGATCACCAAGAAAAATAAGAGGATCGCTAACGTCACTGGGGTCCATCCTCTGGGGAACATGAATGTCTCTTAGCATCAGTTGTTTTCCTTCCCATCACCGGCTGTAACAAGGTCTAACCAGCCTTGTTTGAAAAAAAAAAAAAAACCCGGCCTTCTAAATATAACAATAGTAATAAGAAGAAGAACTTTATTTATATAACATCTTTTGAAAAGTGCTTAAAGACGGGACAAGAAAAAGAAAAGAAGGAAAAGATTTTAAACGACATAAATGGAAATTGAACTGCATAAGGCTGGTCAGTTAAACAATGTGAAAGATTTTTGAAATTAATAAAACAACAATACCAGGTAAAAAATAAATAAATACATAGTTTTTTTTTTTTTAATCCAAAAATTCTGTATTGGGTTAAGGAAGAAGAACAAGTGTAATAAAAGAACCATCAAGACAAGGAGAGATTACAATTGTAATGGTAAATAAATAGAATAAATACATAAACAGGTAAAGAAATAAAAGGTAAAGGAAGTGAAGAGGAAGAAGGTTTGATTCTGATCCAGTCCTACCATGACTGACAGTTAAATTACTCATCAGATAGAAACGAGATCAACAACACAGAGGAGCTAAATGGAACACGTGATTAATCCTTATGCATATTATAGCATCGTATCAGAGCATCGGTGAGTCCTGGTGTGGACTTTTCTGAACTATGAATTGTCCGTCTTGCAGATCGCAGAGGGGATGGCCTACATCGAGCAGAGGAACTACATCCACAGAGACCTGAGAGCCGCCAACATCCTCGTCAATAAGGCTCTCGTGTGCAAAATCGCCGACTTCGGCCTCGCTAGAATCATCGAAGACAACGAGTACACGGCCAGAGAAGGTACGGCAAAGTGTTTCCTGTTGTGTTGTCGGGTGATTTCAGAAGACCAGTTAAGTTGTGGGATAAATGAGTTGCTAGGGAGGATGCCAAATGTGCACAAATGCCCTGAGCAGCGAGTGGGATTCTCGATTCTCTGGCATTAAAAGGATAAAAGAAGAAGGAAAAAGAAAGTAGCTGCATTTTATTTTGAAAAGCAGGCATATGTCAAAGGGGATTTTTAATGCAGTTTTTTTTTTTTTTTTTTTTTTTAGACAAATTTAAGAGTTTTGTCTGTTCTGGGAAAATCACTTGGTGAAATATCGAATAGGTCATCTCAAATCATGACATTTTTTAAACAATTTCTGCTTGATTTGCCACATTTTTATAGCATAAACTCAGGATAACTATAACGATGTTTGTGAAATTTTAGCTGGACATATCAACAACACTTTTTTTTTAAAATTAACCCACTTTTGGCACATTGTTTTCTGCACATTGAAATTTGAGGCTATGTTTGAACAACAACATCTGAGGAACTATTATCAAACCATTGATTCAATACCTCCAATATAATCGCCAATATCCCACAATCTGATAACGGTGAAAGCTCTGGGCTTTTGTCTTTAATGCCTCCTGAGATATCGACGTTCAAACAACCACAAATTTCAATGTGTGAAGATTCAAGATTCAAGAGGCTTATTGTCATATGTGAGTTTGTGAAGCTAAATGACTCAAGTCTTCATAACAATGTCAACCGTTGAACTGTTTGTTTGTTGTTTTTTTTCAATTTTCCACAACAACCAGGAGCCAAATTCCCCATCAAATGGACGGCTCCTGAGGCCATCAACTACGGCTCTTTCACAATCAAATCCGACGTCTGGTCCTTCGGCATCTTGCTGACTGAGATTATCAGCTACGGACGAACGCCGTACCCTGGTAAGGAAAGCCTCGTGTTCTTAACGGACAGTTTGCCTTCATCCAGGAAGAACCTTATAAACAAGTCTGTTTTATTTTAAACAGCCATCATGTATCAATGGGAATTTTTAGTTTTTTACAAATTTTGTAAAGCTTTTACAATGAAACGCTACACAGCACACTTACTCCTCTTTGAGCCGCATGGTTTGATGTATAATTTGTGTGGGATGTCTTAAAGCTTAAAGGACGAGGTAGGTGCCGAAAACTGTGTCAGAAGAATCTGTAAGAATCAGCCCGAGGAACATTAATAAGTGTGCTTCAATCGTAATGCATTTGCACTCTTAATAACTGAAAAAAACATTTATATTAGCCCCGATGATCGTCGATCCCTATTTAAAGCTACAAATATAATATACATCTATACAAATACCACAAAATCAGAAGGAATATTTGGACCAAACTGCTGATCAAAGCTAATGCAAAACTTCTCATTCACTGTGAAGTCAGCGAGGTTCTGACTCAACCATGTGTTCCTGTTTTTCAGGGATGACCAACCCAGAAGTGATCCGCTCCCTGGAGAAGGGCTACCGGATGCAGCGCCTGGACAGCTGTCCCACCGAACTCTATGAAATCATGCTGGAGTGCTGGAAGAACAAGCCCGAGGAGCGACCCACTTTCGATTACCTGCAGAGCGTCCTGGAGGACTTCTACACAGCCACAGAGAGCCAGTACCAGCACCAGCCGTGAGGCTTCTGCTGCAGCCATGTTCGCTCAGACGGACCGCAGCAGGACGGCCAGTTTCTAAGTGCAGCAGTTGCAGTTCACAGCACACACACACACACACACACACACACACACACACACACACACACACACACACACACACACACACACACACGTGTCTTTACCTTCGTCTCTTATTTGCATTCACTTCCTGCATAGGGACTGTACAGAAATTACTGGTGGGAGGAACTTCTGCTTTGGAAGAACTTAGGCCTTATATAAAAACTTTGATATTGTTTTTGGGAGTGCCGCTGTGTTGGTGTCCCATGTTCAGGGGCTCTAGTCCCTGATGCAGAGGTCATGAGTTCAAATCCTGCTCATGGCCCTTTTCTGTAGATCCTTTCCCCGTTCTTCTCCCCCACTTTCCTGTCTCTGCCTCAAACTGCACTATGAAATACAGGCAAAAAGGCCAAAAATATAAATTAAAATTAAAAACATTGTCTTTGGGTCCCTCTTCTTTTGAATAAGGACATTTTAAAGAATCACAATCAGTGTCCATTTCTTCTCACTGTGAGCTCATTTTTACTGTAACATTAAGTTCTTTGGAAGCAGCACAGCCATGACTAGAGGTAGAGAGAACTCATGAGTGTCTTCTCTGCAGTACGACACAGTTATGAAGCCATAATTCATGAAAACAGGAAAAACTAAAGCTGATTACAGATTTTGCTAAAATTGAAAAAACTCAAATCGACATGCACAATATTCCTCAAAGTGCCCACAGATGTTACCAATATTGTAAAATATATATATGATTTTACATATTATAGATATTTTACTACTTCTGCATGTGTTTCCATGCTTGTCTCTGTATAAACACAGCGTGCAGGATTTTTCTCACCTGACCGTCGGTAGCAGCTCGGTCACTGAGGACCTCAATGCTGCACAGAGGGTCACTGAATTTTTAGCTTTTTAGCTTATCTGGTTGGAGCAAAGGCTTTATTTTCAGCAACTTTTTAATGAGACATGTAGAATAAAGTGATTTGGATTAAATATCACGGGTTTGAACTTAAATTTGGTTAATTTTCCCGAGTGAACGGGGTCCGTTTTTACAGTTTCTGATTCGTTTTTAAAAGACAACCGGCCTTTTGAAGGGTTAAAGGAGTCAAATATAAACATAAATACCATGCATACATGATAAGTCTATGTTATTAGTGGTGTCATGACATAGTCCTACCTCATACTTGGGTCAGGAGCACAACAGATGCTGTCTTGTGCTAAAATGCAGCACCAGATACTTGTCTTCAGCAGCAAGTCATTTGGATGCAAACCAGTAATCGCGTCGTAAATGACTGGACGTAGTGATCGGTGCAGGTTATATCTCCAGCATTTAGCATGAAAAGTGATGCAAAAAGACATTTATTTGTACTTTTACTGGACAAGTTTGTGTTTTGTTGTCATCGCAAAGTGTATAAACAAAAACCACAAAATCTGACATCTGTGTTTTTTAAGCACAGAAGAAGATGTGCAAATATAAAATATAAAAATCCTCTAGGTGTACAAGTGTATCTATGAAAACAGTGGTATAGCTTATTCCAGCAGGACTCTTCTCTTTATATGTGCAAGTAAAAAATACTGCTGGGATTAGGGCGACAAATTTGCAAGAGGACATTTTCCATCAACAATCCTAAAATATAAATAATACTTTTCTGTTTTCAGCCCCCACTCTAATCTGTGTACAGTCCTTAACATGCTTCACAGGTTTTATACGTAGAGTTCATCTTCACACAACATACGAGGCCACGTTCACGTGAGTGTAGGTCGCCTGGATTCAGCAGTTCTGCTCCGTCACACATTGTGCAGGTTTAAACACAGATGTTCACGGCCAGCGTTTCTCAGCTCTGGTTAAACTCGGCGAGCAGCAGCAGCAGCGTTGCCAACCAAGCCTCAGGTTAAACTAAAGGAAAGCAGATATTGTGGACTCTGATTGTGCTCCTCTATTTATATGCTATAGGTGTTTTCCATTCGGCTGTGGCTCGTTTCAGCAGCAGCACTCCCTCACAGTGCCTTCCAGGTTGTACAATATATATTCTATATGATGTGTATATACGCTGCAATGCAAATATTCAGGGTCTTTAATTAATATTGCTTGTTGATTCTTCAGTGTTTTTTTTCCCTTTATTACTTAAATTATTAAAATAAACGGTGCAAACGTACATTTTGCACGTATTTCTGCAAATAGTGAATCTTATTGTATCTTGGATGGAATTGTCTTCTTCAAAGTTAAAGCTTTTTCTATCTTTTTTTTAATATATAAAGAAAGAATTCTTACCTTTTTTCTTTTTTACTCTGTTTGAAAAAATGTGTGTTTTAAGGACCAAAATCCTAAAAAATGTCAGAGCTGGTTTAAGATTTTAAGATTTCCTGCTGTACTCGTCTTTTAGAGAAAACTCTTGAGCCACAATATCTGAGAGATTTTGTTTTTTTTTTCTTACATGAACAGGGTTGTCAGTGAACTGGATCATTACTCAGCACCGTGTATGATGCTCATATTCATAGGGTTAAGAATGTTTCTGTTGTTTTTCTTTATCAGTTTGAAACCTGCTGCATATTTTGTGAGATGCTTCCTTCAATGCAAATGTCATGAAAATGTCTGAATAAATTGTTCAAGAAATTATCTGCGTGTGTGTCTGTGTGTGTGAAGTGATTATTCCACTCTTGTTTTCTTCAATTTGTTGTTCATTTTAATGCCTGGTACCACAAAAGGTGCATCACCTGAAGGATACAATAAACACGACAACAAATGCAGCTGATTCCATCATACTTTATGTCCTATTTGACATGCTTAAGCTTCATTGTTTTCCCTGTAGGGTCTATAAGAGGTTGTTTCATGTCATAAGCAGCACTGCACATGTAAAGACCTGGAGTGGTTTCCTGCTTACATTCAAGCCGACTCAGAAGCTGTCGGCTCCCACATAACGCCTAAAACACAAGAATTATGTGAAGCCACAAAGGCAGCCATCTTGGCACTGCTGGACATTGAGTCGTTGGTGCTACTCACATAACGAGGGGGAGGAGCAACAACCAAACCTCAGGTGTTAATGGCTCCTTAAGGATATCAGTATGTGGAACTCCCAACTAGTCAGTCAGACCTGATGAAGCCTCTTGGATGAGAGGTGGAACGTCTTCAAGGAACTCAAGCAGTTGCTACGATTAATCTACCAGAATAACTATGACCTGGATGACTGAGAATCTTCTTCAGAGACACGACGCGTGGCTGCAGTCATCAAAAACAATTGTTATGCAGAACTAACTCCTGTGTGTGTCATGTGACTAAAATAGACAGAAAAGAAAACATGCAATGCCTAATAGCACCATTTTGGGCAGCACAATGACATAGTTATTGATGTAAGAACTTGTGATTTTGGTTATAATAAAGAAAACCATGAAACATGTCTAGACACTATCAGCTCTGAAATGAAACTCTTGCTGTTGTTGTTGTCGTCATTATATTTGTCCAAACAAATGTACCTTTAGTTGTACCAGGAATTAAATGGAACAAGAAATTGAAGAAAACAAGGATAGTTGAATTTAACAAAGCAACATATTTTGTTGCATATATATATATATATCCATCATCTCTACACCTTAATCCTCACTAGGGTCATGGGGGGCTGGAGTCTATCCCAGCTGACTCAGGGTGAAGGCAGGTTCACCTGGACAGGTAACCAGTCTATCACAGGGCTACACTTAGAGACAGACAACCAAGCACACTCACATTCACACCTACGGACAATTTACAATCACCAATTAACCTCAACATGTTTCTGGACTGTGGGAGGAAGCCGGAGAACCCGGAGAGAACCCACGCTGCACGGGGAGAACATGGAGACTCCACGCAGAAAGATCCCGGTTGTGTCCTCACCTTGCAGCCCATAACTATATATATATAGAATTTATTAAACTGACTTTCTGGCTTGATTGTATGAATTTTGCTAACTAAATTGGAGCTTTAATTAATTTACAGATTATAACTTCCACATAGATAATGAATGAAGAATTTACAAAATATGTTGCTTTGTTAAATTCAACTATCTGACAGTGAGAGTACATGTGGAGCTGAAAAAATGAGCTGATTATTTCATTTATTTGGTCAATATTCATTGAAAAATTCTAAACATTTCATAGATCCAGCTTCCAAAAAGTTTTTAATTCTTTTGATTGTTTTATTAGTTTCTCTACTAAACTTTGCCTTTGGGCTCTCTGTGATTATAATTGTATTTTCTCAACTTTTTACAATTATTAAGTAGAATGAAAAGATCAATTCTTAATGAATAAAAATAAATAAATAACAGAAATCTGCAGTTACTGTTGGTCATATACAAAATGTATGAATAAAATTATAAATGCTGTGTGATGGAACAACAAATATTTATTCCCCTACATTAAAAACAATGGATAGAATTAAATAAAATATTACAGACTGCATTTTTAAAAAAAATGTCCAGTGTAGATAAATGCAAGCTCAACAAAACACAAAATAAAGAAATAATATGTATAACGCATGAGTAAGAAATATTCAAGGATTATAATCTACAGCACAGCTCCTGGTGCTACAGTCCCAGAGGACATTATTCTGGACGGACAACTTTCCCTAAAGTTTACTAACCTGAAACGTTTTTTTCAAGTAGCTAACTTTTTCTGAATAATATTTTTCTCCTTTTACTAACATATAATTATAAATGCAGTACTTTTTATTGACAGTTGAACACTTTCACTACATTTCTGGGTGTGTCGGATTAAAAACGAATTAGTCCAAAGACGAACCCGAGCGGGCCACTTCCGCAACGTCACTAATGACACGTATTCAAAATGGCGGCCGCGGCGATGGTGAGTGGAAAAGCGAACTCTTTTTCTTCAAACTGCTCTTTGCTGGTTCTCTCGTGTACGGTTTAGTCAGCCATCGAGCTGTAACCTTGACAGAGCAGAGCTCTACCTTCACCCGGTAAACCACATCGCACCGATAACCGGAGACGCCGTCGTTAGAGTTCGCCGCTGTTTGAATGTTGACGATGTTGCTAGCTGAGTTAGCATGCTAACGTTACCTAGCTTGACTGTCAGGCAGCCGTGGCTCGTAAAACTGGATTGTAGCGTTTGTCTGGCGTGTAAAACTGTAATAATGAAGGATAAATATCCACCCGCTGGGTTATTAGACTGTCATTTGCTGTACAGTCGGGAGAAATCAGCTCGGCGAACTTTGGCGTGACGCTAGCTGTTAACATCTCCGGCAGGCAGCGGCGGTGTGAGGTGGTTTGTGAGGTGGTTGCCGGTGTGGTCAGTAGTGCTGCTAGATGTTAAGATGTCAGCAGAAGATCGGCTACAGAGTACTAACATTACATTAATTAACATAGTCTTCGTTTATTACCTGTGCAGGCACCGGCTGATAACATAAATGCAGGTTGGGTTAGTAGCCATGCTTGCTAACTTTCCACACAACCAACCCGTATTTCGCAATGTGTGTGAAATTGAAGGATTTAGTTTCTAGTATTAAATCATAAAATCAGAATTAGGCTTTTTGACATGAAGCTCTGTGATCGAAATCACTTAAAACAGTGTTTCCCCCTGTTGAGTGAGTTTAAAGTGTTGTTAGCAAGTTGTTAGCAAGTCCAGCTTGACTTTTTGTGGACAAACAGGCATTTATTAAGTTTTCACGTCAGGACAGTAGAGAGAACAATAACTGTGGTCATTCAGGATGAACAATTAATCCAGATATTAGTGACATATGACCTGTAGTGCCATATCCAAGTTGCAGGAGCTGCAGATTGTCGCTAAATGTGTTACTACATAGCTACCACAGTGCTGTGGTACTAAAAAGATGCCCTAGCCTATAAATCATGTTCCCCACACCGAAGAGAAAATGCTTGTTTTGTTCAGGCTGTAGCAAAAGTCACATTTTCATTTATATTTTTCTCCAGTGGAAAAGAATTGTATTTCCACAGAGAACGTGTATTGCAATTGTACCAACTGTATAAATAAAAACAATATGTTTTAGTTTGTTACATGCATTTTGCCAGAAAGGGGGCTGCAAGGTAGCTCGGTGGTTAGCGTTGTTGCCTCGCAGCTAGAAAGTCGCCGGTTCGTGTGCTGGTGAGGACACCCGGGATCTTTCTGCATGGAGTCTCCATGTTCTCCCCGTGCAGCGTGGGTTCTCCGGCTTCCTCCCACAAGTCTAAAAACATGTTGATTGGTGATTCTAAATTGTCCGTAGGTGTGAATGTGAGTGTGCTTGGTTGTCTGTCTCTAAGTGTACCTGTCCAGGGTGTCTCCTGCCTTCACCCTGAGTCAGCTGGGATAGACTCCAGCCCCCTGGCAACCCTAGTGAGGATTAAGCGGTGTATAGATGATGGATGGATTTTGTCAGAAAGAGCAAGCAGAGGGAGCTGTCCTACAACTTTGACATCCAGTTCCTCCTGTAATTCTTAAAATGTCCACTTAAGCATGTGGACAGGAAGTAGGACTTAGGCTCGCTGTATGTCCAAATGGTGCCTGTCACTACCATTGTTGAATGTGAATGAAAGGGCTTAAGAGCATTATTTAAATCCAGTCTATTTACATTTTTGATTGGATTTAAGTTCGGACTGTAACTGGGCCACATTAGAGGGGTGTAAAACGAAGCAAGAGTAATAGATTACCAAGTTCTGTTAAGCCTAAAGTCAGAGTTTTTGGCGTATTTACTGACTGTACACTTAACCTGCTCCAGAGGAGGTTCTGTTTAAAGGTAGAGACTTAACTCAGCCGTAAGAAGTGTCACTCCTTTTGAAGGAATGCATTTGCAAACCTGTCTGAACCATACATTAATAATACCGCTGAATAAAGCTGCACAGTTACAGTAGCTGTGTGTGTGTGTGTGTCACGTTGCCTTGGGAACCCACATACATCATCCAGTCGGAGCTGCAGTATGCATAAATATGTTTTTAAGACTGGATTTGATTTGCTGCCAGCTATATTTCACAATGCTGGTGCTGCAGTTAATAGAACACAGATCAGCAAGTGGATTAATCTATTGGTAATTATCTATCATTTCACTTTGATGAAGCCGTAAACTAAAGTGAAATCTCCATTTTAGGACCGGGTTAGACCTAAATGCACTTGTTGAGCATCATGTTTAAATGAATTAATCATAAAGTTTTGGAGCTCCCATGTGGAGCTGTCCTGTTAGAAATAAGCGGCTGCATTCAGAGTGCATTGAATGATTGTGTTTACGTACATGATTAACAAGTTTTTACCACCATTTCTCTTTGTTGCTTTTTACCGTCATAAATGTTTATATACCTCATAGCCGTGCATTATAAAAAAACGGTCCCTCTTAGCTGAAATAGACAGCGTGCTATTGGCTCATTGTGTCCAGAGGAAGAGTCACGTGACGCGTTGAACGCCCTCTTTTATGTGAGCGCACAGAGAGTCCGACGAAGAAAACCTGGCTGACAAAGAAAGTTGATAACTTCCATTGTGATACTGATTATCTGTCATTAGTTTCCCCTAAGTCAGCTGGGATAGACTCCAGCCCCCCCGCCACCCTAGTGAGGATTAAGAGGTGTATAGATAATGGATGGATGGATTATCTCTCATTAGGGTTTTAGGTTTTGTCAAGCCAGTTTGCACAAAGATAATCTGACTACGTCAAACTCACTTTGTAGTACATCCCTCAGGACAGTAACGTTTTTTTTCAATATGTTTTTTTTTTCCAGGTGCTCTTGCTTTATGTTTGGGATTCTTGTTTCGCTGGACAAATCAATCTCCCCCTATAGTATCAGGTTTTGCATTGATTACAACCAGTTTCTCAGAAGGCTGGTGGAGGAGGGCTCTCGTTTCCTCTGAAGCCTTCATGCAGACATTAGTTTAGATGTCATTCGAGGTTGAACGCTGCCTCTGCTGAATCACCTGTGCAACACTTTAATGTGGCGTTTGATCTCGGCTTTGGAGCCTCGTCGTTCTCCTCCACGGGCTGCGACTCGTGACTTGCTGTGGCTTTTTCTAAAAGCTTTTTGAATTAAAAATGCATAAACTGTATTATAAAGAATACACAGTACTTTGTAAACATTCATCCGTCTTTGTTTTGTAGATTTTGGTTTTGTCTTTAGTGTTGCTTTCACATGATGATGTAGCTGTCGTTATCGGCACCACGTACAAATGGTGGCTGTAATTTATCCATTTTGCAAACCAAAGTCAGTTTAATTATGCATGAGCTTTGAGGACATTTCGTGAAGAGTCGTTAAAATGACATATTTTTTGTGGCCGGATATTTTGATGCATTTTGAGACGCCTGAGTGTGTGCATACGTATTAAAAAAGGGGATTGTTAGGATTTCAGGTTTGCTTGTTTTGCAGTTTTTCTGTTGCCGTTGCACTGCTGTTCACTTCACTACATTTTTAATCATAGTGTATTTTGCACTTTATTATACATTTAGTACTTTAGTATACTTTTCTTATTTATATGTGTCGAGGTCAGTTTACTCTTTCTGCTTGTAACACCAGAATTTCCCCTTGGGGATCAATAAAATCTTTCTATTCTATTCTGTTGTGCTGGCTGTACTAAGATGCTCTGCTGTCGGTACCCAGCATACGTCCTCTTCTCTCCTCTCTATATAGCAGAGGTCTAGACCACACTGTACTCTCGTATACAATCATTTTATTTGAACAAATGCATATGTTGTGTGCTAAAACGTCAGTGTTGTGCGTTGCAGGAGACGTGGTGGGCCTTGCTGCTGTTGTCCTCGCTGCCTGTGGTCCGAACCTTCTACGTTCCCGGTGTCGCTCCCCGGGACTTCCGTGATGGGGAGCTAGTAGATATTAAGGTAGGACTGAAATTAATTTAATCCACATTCATTTTACTGTTTAAAAGCACTGTGTCACATTCTGTACTTCCTATTATAGTGTCCACTATAAATAACAGCCATCTCAGGTCACTTTAACACCAAAAACTATGATGTATTATGAAGTAAAGAGGAATAAACATGCAGTCACACAGCCTGACCGATGAATGAAGTGGACCAGTGTGGGGAAATCTAAATTAGATAAAGAATTAGGAAAATATTTTTTTTTAAAAACACATCAGACAAGACATTCAACTCCTTTTGAGTTTGTGATTGATCAGTGGAAAAATCTCATACGCCTCACGGGATGTTTCATAGTCATCAAATCAAGTTTACTGTCATGTTGCTGTATGTACACAGTAGTACAGGCAAGACGAGAGAGCGCTTCTTCAGGATCATTCAACCAGCAAGTTTTGCAGAATGAACGTGTGGGATAGACAAGACACTCAAAATGTTCACTTTCGTTGTCTCCTGAAGGGGGCGCTGCGTCTATGTGCGCCGCCATCACCATGGCAACATCTTATTATAGATATTACTCCGTTTGAATAAACTGTGGATGGATTTAATAGTAGTTAGGGTTTTGAATTCATCCTAAAAAGCTGGCAGTGCATCCCGGTCTGACCCAAAACTGACGTCGGTGTCTCTGACGGAGAACATGCCTCGGACGTGGAAAGGCAAGGTGGCGGAAAATAACCATCCTTAACGCCGTCCTTCGCCTGTGTTCTTGTACATGGAGCGGTATCTGGGCCTGGATACAAGACAGCGCCAGTTCTGAGGGCGTCCACGCTGTTTCCAAATGAAAACACAGTCGCGTATGTGATGTAAAGAACATATTTTGTCGCAGGTGGTGATGTTTCGAAACCTAAAACCCCAGTTATTGACGTCCACATGCAGACACATAAACGGAGGATCTTCACTTTGGTCGGAGGCTTTTGAAAGGATCGTTTTTAATGCTGTAAATCTGCATTTTTGTGTGGATGACAGGCTGAATCGTAAAAAATATCTTCGCTTTACGTGTGGACAAGGCCTTAGACCTCCACTATACTGTCGAATTAGCGCATTAAAAACATCTGGTACATGCAGCTAATAATTGAAAGTTGTGGGTTAAATATGAAGTCTTTTGGGTCTTTTTTCATGGAAGTGACTTTATCAGGCTGTTCATTTGTGCCTTTAGTATCTAGATATAAAACTCGATTATTCCAGTTATCCAGCAGACGTGACTGTAACTGATGCCACCGGTGTTTGTTTCAGATGTTTAACTGGCCTTTTGTAAACATAAAGTCTTCGTGTTCGTTGGTAGAAAGCTGCAGCTAAAGTACAGTTTCCAGTGTCACTCAGACCAACTTGTTTTAGTGTCATTTGGGGAAAACATTTTGGGAAGACTACGTCAGTCAGATGCTTTTGTTTTTTAGGCCGTGAAGCTGACCAGCTCCCGGACTCAGCTTCCTTATGAATACTACTCCCTGCCTTTCTGTAAGCCGGACTCGGTTTTCTACAAAGGAGAGAACCTGGGTGAGTGGACCGCTGTGTGGAATGTGGTTTCTCTAAATGTATCGCTGAAGTTCAATCTGTATTAATTTTTGGTTCTGCTTTAGGCGAGGTCTTGCGTGGGGACCGTATCGTGAACACACTTTACAATGTTGAGATGAACAAGGACAAGAAGTGTGAGATGGTGTGCAGCAAGAAGAAGCTCAGCGTAGAGGCCAGTAAGCTGTTTGCTGAGCGAATCCAGGAGGAGTACTACGTTCACCTGTAAGCATCCCTTCTCACTGTTATTAGCAAGAGGAGTCCTTTTCATGCTGATAAAACTATCCAACTTTTAATTTTTCAGACAGAATTGAATTGTACTTCTTTATATAGTGAGAAGATTCTATGATTCTATCACATTGAAGGTGTTTTTATCTTCAGTTTGCCACTAAAACAAACTAATCATCTTCCTGTGTGTCATTTCAGCATTGCCGATAACCTTCCAGTTGCCACCAGGCTGGAGTTTTACCCCAACAGAGAAGTTGGAGTGGAGGAAGAGCAGAAGAAGGACATAGTGAAGGATATCCAGTTCGAGCATGGCTACAGACTGGGCTTCGTCGACAACAACAAGGTAAATATGATGCGGTACCTCCCCCCCAGTGTCTCCTGATATGTTGTCTGGAGGTGAAGAGTACACGTAGTCAGAACGCTTTAGTTACAGATTCCTGTTTTGAAAAACAGTGTGGCTCATGAATGAGAATTACTTACTCCCTGAGACGTTATAACTGGGCTGTATTCAGAGGTATTAAGGACTCTCCTCCACTGCAACACACCTACCTACGCTGTGACATTTACATGTGCTGCAAACCAGACTCCTTTCCAGCTGATGAAAGTAAAGTCTCGTAATTCACCGTCCCTGCTACAATGAGGAACATGTTTCCTGACCCTCCACATCACGTTACTATAGCGCCATGAATCCACAACCGCTTCCGATCCTTCTTTCTTCTGTTGGATTTTCTATTTTCTAAACCAGGATGGAGCTCTGGCTCTGCTGTTCATTTCTGGAATAGATCTGTGTTCGTCTTATACGGCGTTTCTGCAGATCCTTAAAAAGTCTAAATCCATAAATTAGAATTTTAGGCCTTAAAATACAGTCATGACTCGATAATCCGACACTAAACCTAAAACCTTCTTTTATGTCGGATATCAAGGCTGTTGGATTGTCAAGACGGAGGTCCAGATACAAGGAGGGCTTGATGCCGGAAGGCTCATTAGTTGTTAATATTTATTGTTCATAGGTGTTTAATAACCAGTGTATTGTTAGAACACTACGCATCGCTGGATTTCACGCCTAATTGACCGGTGCGATTGTGCATGTTCCAGCCGGACGCACAGACACTACTTGACTGCTGATGCTAGTTTAATTAGCGGGAGTGGCAGATACGCTCCACCGTTACCATCCATGTTTACTTCCATAAACACTGAGCACGCTCGCTGCGTGTGACGTCGTCGTGTCCTCTTCTGCGCATGCGGGACGCTTTTGGGTCGTATGAAGTTCACACAGCAGATCACATACAAGTCGCATTGAACTGGAAACGTGAAGGAAGTCACAAAGAAATCCTCATTGAGCATCAAGTCCTGCAGTGTGAACGTAGCCAATCTGTGGGATTGTTCAGTCAGATAATACGCTGTTATCCTGATTGGTGACATTAAATGTCATGTCAGAGTCAGAATCCAAGGCTGTCGCTATGTTAAGACTGTTTTTATGGGTTCTGTTTGTTTTTCCTAAAAACCTGTCGGATAGCAGGTTTAGGATTGTTAAGGGTCGGATTATCGAGTCGTGACTGTATCTTAAATATGATTTTGACAGCTAGTAAAACCGGATTATGACATTTGTGTTACTTTTATAAAGTCACACTTACGTCGTTCTTGCCTTTATATGTGTTTTTGGGAAGCACTTATATTGATCACACCAAAAAAAAAAAAACACGATAAAACAAGGCCACTAATACAGACTGTGCTGCCTGGTGAGAATTTCTTGGAGCTACTGTGTTGAGATGTGCTTTGGAGGTAAATGCTCCTTTCATCAAACTGTAGCTGCTTAAGAAATTAATCTAAGGCCACTGCACGTTAAAAAAAAGCTGTTGGAATCACATAAAGAGTCAGAAAACAAAAGCCACTAACAGTTCTGCATTTATATCGGAAGCATCACCTGTTTGGCCCCATTGCAACAAAAACCGACAACATTGTCTCCAGCAACTTCCAGACAGTGTTTGGATTGATGCTAACATTAAAAGCAGATGTGCTCTGGAGTCTACACGTGATGGCGGCCAGCAGTGCAGCTGGAGTTTAAGCTGCTAGAAGCTACAGTCAATAAGGCAGATTTTTGTCCTTTTCAGCCAATACATATATAAAATATGAAGTCTTACCTTGTTGAAAGCAGCAGAAACCCTGTTACATGTACAGTCTTGTAGGATTTTTTCCACTGTGCGGGACGAGTTTGTGTCGTGAACATCCGCCATCAGCTGAGCTGCACTGGTTTGCAGTGAGTGTTTTCCTCTGCACCGCATGGAAAAATAAATTAGCTTCTGTGAAACAGTGATGAAACGCTACTTAAAATTCTTCTAATTTCACTTTAATAAAAGTTTCCCGACGTCTTTCCACCAGTGGAAAGCTTTCGGTGTCAAACTAGGAAAGGTTGGGTTTGAATCATCAGCTGAGACGTGGCTCACAACAATCAGTAAACCATAAAAAGATCCGGTTGCCAACTGAGTGTACAAACGGGCACAGAGCTGAAACTAAAGCTGCAAACCACCGGCGTTCAGGTGGACGTTACAACAGATCCAAACACCAAGAACAAACAGTTTACTCTCTGGCACAGTTTAGACGCTGAGGACACTCGTTGGCCGCGATCGGCTCTGCTACCGAGCAGAAGCTTGCAGTGGAAACACGTTTCATTGTGGTTTGGCGCAGCATCAAACCAAACTGGTGGGAAAGACCTTGTTAGGCTGACCTCGCTGTGGGAAATATCCAGCTCATGTTCTGATGAAACAATAAGGATAAATTTAAACAACATGTTACCTGCACTAAAGGACGCATCAGAAGTAGATAAATGATAAATGTGCACATGTGTGTGAACGTTGCTAATCTCTGTCTCCTCTCTTTTTCTCTGTTGTAGTTTTATCTGCACAACCACCTGTCCTTCATCCTGTACTTCCACAGGGAGAAGCTGGAGGAGGGGGAGGTTCACGACTACAGGGTGGTGCGATTCGAGGTCGTACCCCAAAGCGTCAAAGTGGAAGGTTGGTGTCGGCAGCTGGAGGTTGTGTGAAGGTTTCCACGTGTCACGACTTAAAGAAGGTGTTAATTAGAAACCGATAACCTGCTTCTAGTCGTAGTTATTCTGTTGTGTGACGCTGTTCAGATCTGAAGGCTGTGGAGCAGGACAAGACCTGCACTCTGCCTGAGGCCAGCGGTTCTGCCCCCCAGGAGATTGACCCGACCAAAGAGAACGAGGTCCTCTTCACCTACTCCGTGCACTGGGAGGTCAGTGACTGCCGTGTGGATCCTCAGCGACATGAAACGTCTTGTTACCACTAGTTAAACCAGTTATCTCAATAATTCACCCAGATTTAACTGAGGATTAGCTGTATATGAACTTAAGAGTTTTCTCTGTGTGAGTACCGCAAATCCAAAACAATAATTTATTAACCCTGTGAACACAAAGCTGTTTTTATTTGCTCCTGTCTCACTGGGATCGTTTTTCAGTGCAACCTAAAGGCCAGAACCTCGATGGAAACAGCACAGCTATAGCTCAAACTCCAAAATGTCTTCTCTGCAGTACGACACAGTTAAAATGCCGTGATTCATAAATACAGGAGACATGAAACAAGGGCTCCAGACTAACCTTTTAACTAGTCGCACCTCCCACCTGGTCACAACGTAGTAGCTGAACATTTGCTTAACGACGGACACAACATTTAGAGACGGTCCCTAAACGCCGGAGACGGTGGGGCCTGCTGTGTGCCGACACCAGGATGCATATTACTGAATTATTGTTGTTTTCTTGTACTTTCTATATTTTTGGATGCTGCTGTGGCGAGTAAATTTCCCAAAAGTGCGACCGCTTGAAATTCTCAAAAACACTCTCAGAAGAAAGTCGCAGTCTGGAGCCCTGTAAAAGCTGAATTTCCTTTATTATAAAGTTCTATTCAATGATATAATTATTATATATATACTATAATGTTATATATAAAATTGGAAAAAGCTGGAATCAACATAACCAACGAACACTAGAAAACCTCTGGCTCTACATACCACATATATTTACCTGTTTACATTTCTCACGTCTCTATCCTTGTCTCCTATTTGCTCTGTGTGAGCAGCCTGCAGTTCAGCTGAAAAGCTCCTGAATTTTTTACTGTTGGTTGCAGTCAAACAAATCAGATGTGCAAAAGAAGAAGTCTGGTTACAGCAAATGGTTTATTCCGGCACATTTAAAAGAACAATAATATGTATAGTAAAGAGATTTTGATGAAAATACTCATTTTAAGCTTACATTTGGTTATTTTTCCCGACTGAACCTGAAGTATTCGCTGCTATTTAAACTGTTTGGGTTTTGTGGGATGTGAGGTGAACTCATGCAGAGGAAGGAGAGCTGAGGCCGCTGTGTCCTGTGTGCAGGAGAGTGAGGTGAAGTGGGCGTCTCGCTGGGACACTTACCTGACCATGAGCGATGTTCAGATTCACTGGTTCTCCATCGTCAACTCTGTGGTGGTCGTCTTCTTCCTGTCTGGTACGTCCAGGACTTCACAAATCATCGTGTGTCGTCTCTTCCAGATCTTAAATGTCCATGTGTCTGTGTCGACTAGGCTTTAACATTCACCGCTACAGGCACAGGATGGTGTTGGTGAAACAATAAGAGTTTCATAAGGAGTCTACAGTGCTACATATTTATTACAGTAAGAGTTTTCATACAGGAAAAGTCTAACTGGGATTAAATACTGTCAACATAAATTATGTTGTTTTATTCAGTTCAGCTTATTCTCATTCAAAACTTAAAAACATGAAGGAACAAAACTTGTCACCCAGATCCAGCAGCGTACAAAATAAATACCATTTTACAGTTTAACAGCTAAAATAGACCAACGATAAATAAATACATAATTAAATAACCTAAAAGTCTACAATAAATAGAACATATAGTTAAGAAAATACATAGATGGATACTGTGAATGAACTTAAATGCCACTGACAGAGCAGAATGACCACACTGAGCTTTATCACTGTTATCAAATCAAATAAAAATTTAATTATAAAATAAATATTTTCACGTAATACTTTATTGCAGTGAATACAGGTCTGGTGGAATTATTTGCACAATCCTTTCGATTTAATTTAATTTAATTTAATTTAATTTAATTTAATTTTGTTTCTTTCTATCAGTGGTTCTCAAACTTTTTGAGCCACGACCCCCAAGATAACATCAGTTTGTGTTCGTGACCCCCCAGTTTGAATTTTTAATATCTCATGACTAATAACTTAGTTGTTCATGCATTAATGCGTTAAAAATAATCTTAATAATTTATTTTCTTTTGAATGAATGAATGAATGATTTGACTTTATTTCTAACAAATGAAGGGAAAAAATATATAAAAACAAAAGAAGATAATATCAAAAAGAGCAGAAAAGAATAATAATGTCACATAATCAAATCATAATATTAACAAGTTCAAAAAAGGAGTGGGAAGAAGTAAACACTTTTCATTTTGACAGCACTGATACACATTTATTTGATAAATGTAGGCTTTTTTTTTGATTGCTTTTTTTTACGCAATGATCTGGCGACCCCCTGAAACTATCTTGGGACCCACATGGGTGTCCCGATCCCCAGTTTGAGAACCACTGCTTCAGAGCATACTGTTTCCTATGACATATCCCCATTTTCAAGAACTGTTTTGAGAAAAGGAGCCGTTCTGTACTTTCTGTTGGACAAGCACCAACAAGTGAAACATAATAAACAGTAACACATGAAGCCAGTGTTTACATGTTGTTTAGCAGAATCACAGCATCATTGTCGCTGAGAGTTAACATCTTTCACACTGTTGTCTTTTTGATGTTATCGTCCATGACAGCAGTAATGCTAAGCTGTCCCCTTTGTTTTCAGCAGTATAGAAACCATTTTCCTCCTGGGCAGAAATGTGCATCACACCTCGGCATCGCCTGCAGGTTAAACTGGACAAACCACATGTTTAGCAACGACAAAGGCTGAAGACACTCATGAGCTTAGCAGCATTAAGGCTACAAAGAACCCATAATGCAACCCTCTCTGGAGAAGTAGTCACACTGGAACTATTCAAACACTGCCGGCTTGTTCGGCCGGCCTGTATCATAACTAACTCTACGATGGAATTAATGAAAAGAAGTTTTTAAATAACGTGGTATTCCTCATTTATACACAATGAAGTGCTATAAGTCAGTATAAGTTGGGCTCGTGGTAGAAATCTCACTGACTAACTACAGACTTGTGTGCTTAAAATTGTCAGTTTACCAATATTGCAAATCTATATATTATACATACGGGAAAAAACGTCTGTAGTTTGACGACAGCATGTGAGCTGTAGCTGAGCGACTTGAGGAAAAATATGTATTTGTGATTTTTCTACCGGGATTTTGCAGTTTGATTTGTGATGTGATGCTTGAAAGTCGGGCGTCAGTTCAGTGGTCACCGTTTGATCGATTTTAAACATCAGCGCGTGAGATAGCATCACGTTAGCATCGCGTTAGCATCGCGTTAGCAGCATGAAAAATCATTGGCGTGAAAGTTTAAGCCTCGAGTCAAGTCTGCTGCCAAACGTACAAGTGTAGCTCATAAATAATGACACTGGGCTGATGTCAGTGGAACCACATAATGCAGTCCCAGAGTAAATATAGATCAATGAGCCGCATAAACAAACCCTGAAAGTCTGTGTGTGTGTGTTCAAATTACATCAAACTGAACTGCAGGATTAATCTCATTATTTAATTGCTTCTAATGTCGTTGTTGTCATCGTTGTCTCGATTGCGATGCCACTTCTAAACCAAATAACTCTCCGCCCCGAATGTAAATGTTGAATTTTCCGTCTTTGTAGTTGACTGACGCCCTTCCTTTTCTCTCGTAGGTATCCTGAGCATGATCATCATCAGGACCTTGAGGAAGGACATCGCTAACTACAACAGAGAGGACGACATAGTAAGAAAACACGCTTTGTGTTTGCTTTGGGGAACAATGTCGGCATCTTTGAGAATTGTCTTGAAGAGAATTAATTGATGCAAGTGGCTTTGAGTTCTTGATGATCACCATATTCCACCCACCAGACTGTGTTTTTGTCGTCTCCAAACAGGAAGACACCATGGAGGAGTCGGGATGGAAGAACGTCCACGGTGACGTCTTCAGACCTCCTCAGTATCCCATGATCCTCAGCTCCCTGCTGGGCTCTGGCATCCAGCTCTTCTGCATGGTCCTCATCGTCATCTGTGAGTTTCTCTATACATCCTCCTCAACCCCACATGGTTCTCCTCCTGTTGTGTATTTGTTTTATTCATCTATATTATCTTAAAAATGTGAAGCAGCAAAGATAAGACACCTAAATACAGTCGTGACTCGATAATCTGACCCTTAACAATCTGAAAACCTTGATATCGGACAGGGTTTTAGGAAAAACCAACAGAACCCATAAAAAACAGTCTTAACATACCGACAGCCTTGGATTCTGACTCCAACATGACATTTAATGTCACCAATCAGGATGACGGCGTATTATCTGACTGAACAATCCCACAGATTGGCTACGTTCACACTGCAGGACTTGATGCTCAATGAGGATTTCTTTGTGACTTCCTTCACGTTTCCAGTTAAATGCGACTTGTATGTGATCTGCTGTGTGAACTTCATACGGCCCAAAAGTGTCCCGCATGCGCAGAAGAGGACACGACGACGTCACACGCAGCGAGCGTGCTCAGTGTTTATGGAAGTAAACATGGATGGTAACGGTGGAGCGTATCTGCCACTCCCGCTAACTAAACTAGCATCAGCACAGAAGTGTGACCGCTAACTAAACTAGCATCAGCAGCCAAGTACTGCCTGTGTGTTCTGGACACTTCCACCCCGTCAGAGCGCTGCCGTGGGGTAGAAGTGACTGGAACGTGCACAATCACATCGGTCAATTAGACGTGAAATCCAGCGATGCGTATTGTTCTAACAATACACTCGTTATAGCAACTATAAGCAATAATTAACAACAAATGAGCCTTCCAGCATCTAGCCCTCCTTGTATCTCGACCTCCGTCTTGACAATCCGACAGCCTTGCTATCCGACATAAAAGAAGGTTTACATTTAGTGTCGGATTATCGAGTCATGACTGTATATTTATTTGCCTGCTGCTGATACCAAAATTGAGTGAATAGCTTAAGTCGTAGATGTGAATTTTCATGAGCTCATGTCTAGAAAAATGCGACGTAGTACAAAAACCCTCTTTTAGTGTTTAGTGTAACTTTGAGGACTTTGGCAGGATGTCCTGACTGCCATTCATCATGTCATTTCAGTGAGGTTGCCAGGCAACAAGAGGAGAATCCAAGATAAATAGTTCCTGCACATAACGCTACATAAAACCAAGTCATTCCTGTTTTTACGCTGATTAAACAAACAAGATCTAATATTTTAATTCCATAGTACTGTATAGGGCCTGGTAGGCGTCTGTTAAAACTTGGACAAGGCCGGCTGGCTGTTTCTATCCTTTATGCTAAGCTAAGCTAAGCTAAGCTGTTGGTTCTAGCTTCATATTTAGCATATCCATGTTCTCATCGAGCTCTCATGTGCTTTCATAGTCGTCGCCATGTTGGGCATGTTGTCTCCATCAAGTCGAGGAGCCTTGATGACGACTGCCTGCTTTCTCTTCATGTTTATGGGGTAAGAGCCACGTTCATCCCTCTAGTCCTCGTCAGGAACTCAGAGGTCGCCCATCTTCAAATAGAAAGCTTGATTTCACACCACTTCTCCCCGTCGTTGTTTCTCCTCCAGCGTGTTTGGAGGCTACTTCGCCGGCAGACTGTACCGCACACTGAAGGGCCACCGGTGGAGGAAAGGAGCGTTTTGTGTGAGTCCGTCGCACAAACATACGTCTCATTCCTCGTTGGATTGCTCATTTTACAACCCTACATGTGTTTGTTTGAAGTTTTGCAATCAGAGCAATCAGAGAAGTTTAGGCAGGATAAAAGAAGCTGTTTTTTGTTTTCCCTGCAGACGGCGACTTTGTATCCTGCAGTGGTTTTTAGCATCTGCTTCGTCCTCAACTGTTTCATCTGGGGAGAGCACTCCTCTGGGGCGGTGAGTACCACGACTCAGACATGAACACAGACGTACAGTAAATTTAAGTGGCTGCATTTGTGTGATAGTCAAGCTGTTTTGCTGTCGCTCTAACTGGTGCTACTGCATTTTATTTCTTCCCTGGTTCTCTCAGTCTGTCGCTGCCTGCTACCTGAAAACAAGCTGTTGTGTGTGACTAAAATAAAGCCATTTGTTGCTGATTATTATGAAAAACAAAACGAGGAGAGAGAAGGCAGCTACTGGAGTTACAGAGGTCCTGACTCATGAAGATACCGACTGACTGAGCCAGTAAAGAAAAAAAAAATCAGTGCATTCAATTGCAATGACTGATGCAGTACTTGGGCTGCAAAATGGAATTAATATTTATCACGGTCAAGATTTTGGCCTACCGTGAATTATATAAACGTGACGGCGGCTCGGTGGTTAGCACTGTCGCCTCGCAGCTAGAAGGTCGCCGGTTCTCGTCCCGGTGAGGACACTCTGGATCTTTCTGCGTGGAGTCTCCATGTTCTCCCCGTGCAGCGTGGGTTCTCTCCGGGTTCTCCGACTTCCTCCCACAGTCCAGAAACATGTTGAGGTTAATTGGTGATTCTAAATTGTCTGTAGGTGTGAATGTGAGTGTGCTTGGTTGTCTGTCTCTAAGTGTAGCCCTGTGATAGACTGGTTACCTGTCCAGGTGAACCTGCCTTCACCCTGAGTCAGCTGGGATAGACTCCAGCCCCCCATGACCCTAGTGAGGATTAAGGTGTAGAGATGATGGATGGATGACTGACTGCAGTATTTAAACGCTGCTGATAGAAAAATAAGTAGATAAACTCACTTGGTTCCATCCTAAACAGATCTAACATTAGAACACCAGATTCTACTTTCTGCTCACTCACCTGTCTGAGTGAACCGCAGCCTGCACTGCGAGGCGTTTAGGGAACATCGGTAAATTGCAGTGTCTGTCGATGAGCAGATGTTCAACGGTTGAGTGCTACCAGTGAAAAGTGTGGAGCCCAAACACATTCTAAAAATATTTATATTAAGTATGTTTTTATAGCAAATTAGCAAACAGCCAGTTAGAAGGTTAATTACTTTATTGTAGCAGTGACTTTAATAAATGTGTTACAGCAGATAGCTGGTAGTAGTTTAAAGGAAAGATTCCCCACCTTAAATCATTTTAACATGTTAAGATGAGTCTTTAGGGTAAGGAGATATTTATATGTATATAAGTCTTCCTCTTATATATAAACAAATAAAATGCAGTTAAAGAGCATTTCCACCTTTCTTGGTTTCTGATGACCATTAGCTTTTCGTGGCTAACACGAGGTAACATTAACAAAGATGTTGCCAAGCCAAGGACTTTACACCCTTTAATTACATGTGGTAATGTCATGCTGTGTTTATTTCTGCTACAGCTTGTGCATGTTTTAAAGGGGAACAAAAGTTAAATGAATTAATTGAAATGTTGATCTGTGACTTTTAAAGTGTAACGCCATCATAGTGCAAAGAAAGAAGAGAAGTCAAGTCAACACACTGTGTACACATAAGCATCTAATAAAGCAAAAAGACTACAGAAACAGCTTAAAATAAATAACATTCTTAGGGACTAGACATGTTGTTTATGGATCATTGTTGTGCTGGTTGTGTTATGACTGATAGACCATCATCATCATCAAGTTTGCTTTGCTCTGAACTGGAGACTAGTGGTTGTTCACAGGTTATGATTTGCATCTTGTTAATCAAAAACTAATATCATAAAACAGCTGACTGCGCCTAAACATGCGGCCTGCGATTTGGAACTTATAAAAGAAGCTGTGACGGTCAGACATCTTGTCCTCTCTGCTCATTGCTCTTCCCGTGTCCCTGCTCTCCTCTCTCCCTCCAGGTTCCCTTCACCACCATGCTGGCCCTGCTGTGCATGTGGTTCGGTATCTCCATGCCGCTGGTCTACCTGGGCTACTACTTCGGCTTCCGCAAGCAGCCGTACGATAACCCGGTGCGCACCAACCAGATCCCTCGGCAGGTCCCGGAGCAGCGCTGGTACATGAACAAGTTTGTAGGGTGAGTGTTTGAGTCAATATCATCGTCTTAACTCGTGTCAGAATCAGATTGGTTGTGAGTCAGAACCTCTGAATTTCTCACAACGTGATGTTTTCCCTCCACTAGAATCCTGATGGCTGGAATCCTGCCGTTTGGTGCCATGTTCATCGAGCTCTTCTTCATCTTCAGTGTGAGTACAGACGCGCTGCTTTTAATCAGATCGCCTCATCGCTCTCTCAGTTAGCGCTTGGCTAAGTAAACAAGCTAACTGAATGAGATTTGTTTTATTAATGATTTTATTTTTTAGAAAGTTTAGTTTTTTGCTCCATGTGGACATTTATTCAGTTGATGCAATTCTTTCTTTGAAGTACTGCAGATGGAGTGCAGACCTGCTACAGCAAATGAGGACAATGCAGACAACACCTTAGATTAGATTAGATTAGATTAGATTAGATAGACCTTTATTGATCCCTTTGGTAGTAACCTGTGTTAATAAATAAAAAACAAATTCAGAGATTTGGTGTCTTACCTATTAGATTGTCGTATTTTGTCAAATTCAAGCAAAAATATAAAAAAACCAACAACATGTGAGCGTTATTTAATAGTCGTTGACTTTTCTGCTCTAAATATCTGCATTTAAAAACTCACTGACCACTACTCTCAGTTTTCCACAGTTGTCTGACTTTGTGTATTTTCTCATCCGAGTGTGTGTCGCCCCCTACAGGCCATCTGGGAGAATCAGTTTTATTACCTCTTTGGCTTCCTGTTTCTGGTCTTCATCATCCTAGTGGTGTCCTGCTCCCAGATCAGCATCGTCATGGTTTATTTCCAGCTCTGTGCAGAGGTGAGAGCGTAGAAGTACCGAAGACTCTGATGGAAAGAGTTCGATTAGCCGACACGTGATATAAGATCCGTTTCCATCCACGCTTTAATTCAGAAGGTGATAACGCACCGTGAAGCTGAACCATCATAAAACATCGTAAGAAGAACTAGTTTTGAGCTTTTGCTACTTTCCTCTAAACAAGCTGATGTCGGCAAACTCCAGCAGCATCAGTACCGCTGGAGGATGTGGATGTTGTTCATTGTTAATATGAAGTCACTGGCACTTGCTTACCTTCAGTTCTGTGCACAGATCCAGATGTCTGACTTTGAGCTGCTCAGATACGTTTGAGGAGTTTACCCCGAGTGTTTCAGACGTGGCGCTATTTGCAGTCTGGCTTTTGGTCATCTAGAACTTCTCATCTGATTCAGACCATAAATGACCTGCACCAGCTGGTACCGTTCTGCAGAATCTACTGAACCTTCAGAACATTTAATGCCAAACACAAACAAGTACCGTCACATTTTCAGAATGTTGTCGTCAACCTGGTACCAAGTGATCAGTTCTTGTGACTCCTCTGGTTCAGACACACTTGAGCTTCTACAGCGCTGTCACAAAGTTCTGGTCCAATCAAATATGTCTGGATAGGCCCTGATACGTGTCTGATCTCTGCTTGACAATTTGTACCAAATGTGTTTCTGTTCAGTTCTGTTTGAATGAAACATGTCGTGACTCTGCTTAAAGCATGGAAGTGAATGACATGAAGCTTTAAATGAGACAAAGGACCACATGTACCTGCTGAATGGCTTCTATAGTGTCAGTACGTTATTAGTGACAACCTCTAAACCATTGTAGACGTTTTAATAACGCTGCTGTTGTGTTTTATAAAGGTTGTGTGTCTCTGCCTGACTCGTACCTGCATCATGTGAACACACTCATGTGTCGCTGTGTCTCTGTCCTCTTCACTACCAGGACTACCGGTGGTGGTGGAGAACCTTCCTGGTGTCGGGAGGCTCAGCCTTCTACGTCCTTGTTTACGCCGTCTTCTACTTTGTCAACAAGGTAAAAACAACACAAACCTCTTCCACAAACTCGTCTGTGATCTCATTTCGGCGTAGAGTCTGGGCTCACGTTGTCATGTGACTGGACTTGGTGTCTATCCCCTTGAAGCTCTGCTCGATACGAGCCGGTCACAGTTCGTCTCCTCTCTGACTCGGTGGTCGTGGACTCAGAGTATTTCCAGACTGCACTTCAGCCTTTTTTATTTTCACCTAAAACAGGCAGTGAACTTGTCCTGTATCAGTGACGTGTAGGTTGGATAAATGCAAAAGATCAGATACCAGTCGGATTTAGGACCACATGTCCACATGTCCTGGGTCGCATTTGAAAATAATTGAATCTGTGTTGTTCAGACTGTCATAAAAAGACCAGATCCAGGTCACATAGGGGCAAAAAAAAAGTCTGATCTGGGTCACTTCAGCCTGCTGTCTGAACGTATTTACCTTTGATGTTAACTGAGAAAAGTGCAGCGTCTTCATCATGAACCTGAATTAACCAGTAAAGCGAGTTGCAGCTTTAGAAGTGCACAAAGTAACGCTGCCTTTAAGGAGGCGGCCATCTTGTCTGAATAAACTTTATTGAACCGTTAGTGAACAAAGCGAGGGCGGGATCTGCATTTCCATTCAGTGTGACCGCCACATGGTAGAGAGTTGATGGATCCCTGTAAGGACAACTTGTTGCACATATCAATAAAACTTTGTCTGCAGCTTTAAAGCTAGCGATGCTAACACGCTATAGCTCAGCGGTCCCCAACCACCGGGCCACGGACCGGTACCGGGCCGTGGGTCATTTGGTGCCGGGCCGCACAGATAGAATCAAAACATTTTATTGGTTTATTTTTATTTCCAGCGGAGTCTGCAGGGTGTTTTATTTTGAAAAATGACTAGCTCGTCTTCCCGTCACTTCCGTTTGTGTTCGTTTCCCGTCACTTGACTGTCAGTTTTTATGCCCGGCTGCTAAACGAAGCCGTCAGTCAAAAACAAACGTCTCAGGAGAGCTGCTTTGGAAAGTGGGAGAGACTGAATACTGAGACAGAAGAAAAAGTAAACATGTTAAGCAATAAAAATTAATTTTATTTATTTATGAAACTTTTTAATAGAAAAAAAAAACGATTATTATTTGTTATGTGTGTAATGACCGGTCCGTAGAAAAATTTCTTGCTTAAAACCGGTCCGTGGTGCAAAAAAGGTTGAAGACCGCTGAGCTATAGCTGACGGACAACAACTGGTGCAGATATAAATGGAGTTTCCACATAAATACAGAACTGCTGGAATGGCCCTTTAACAAGCCGCCTCTCGTCTCTCCTCAGCTGGACATCGTGGAGTTCATCCCCTCCCTGCTGTACTTCGGTTACACCACCCTGATGGTTCTGTCCTTCTGGCTGCTAACGGGCACAATCGGTTTCTACGCCGCCTACATGTTCATCAGGAAAATCTACGCCGCGGTCAAGATCGACTGAGTTGCCGCTGTTTTTTTGTTTTTGGTCATTGTTTTGTTTTTTCTTTTGCTCTTTTTTTTTTTTCCACATTCAGTTTTTTTTTTAAATCTATATTTTTTATTCTTCATGTCCAACATGCACTGACTTGTGTGCAGCGGGAACCAGAGGGGTGTGTTTTACTGTGTGACCCACTGAAACCGCCAAACCGGCTGTTTCTCTCACACTCTCTCCCCCTAAACCTTCCCCCTCCTCACCCCCTTTTTACTTTTTTTTGCTTCTTCGCCCTTCGTCTTTCCGGGACAGAGACCCAGAGGCCGTCTTCCTCTGCCGGGACAGTTCTGTCGTCTCACCTTGCACACAGCGGGCCAAAGCTTGTCAAACGATGGTTTCTGCACATTTTTTTTTTTTTTCCAATTGGGGTTTGAAGCCAAACTAACCAAGGTTGGTTTTAATAATAGTAATTTTTTTGTCATCGCAGGATTTATCTGTGACTTAATTTCTTTCAATCATCTGCTGGGAGGCGATTTTTGCTCTAAATATCCCTCACGTAAATTCTGTCTTTACTCTTTCCACTGTCTGTTTTTCAGATGTGACTTTTTTGTTTTTTCATTTCAGAGACTTTACAGATCAGGGAAGGATCGGGGAGTGTAACTGTGGTTATGGTGTCTGTTGTGTTGAACTGATATGGATGGAAATCTTTTTTTTTTTTTTTTTTGCTGGGACGTTCTGCATTGTAACACAAGAAAGGATAAATTAAATGTTCTATTATTTTTTACTTCAGTTTCCATGTCTTGGTGTAACCACGATGACCACAACTATAATCAAAATATTAGCGTCTCCTTCCCAAACAGTGGGTCTCCTGTTCGTGTCAGAACGTCGCTCCGTTTGCTCCAGATGATAGAGAGCAGCTGTAAATGGTACTAAACTTGAGCGTGAACCCGACGCCCCGCAGCAGTGGACCGGAGCATCGGGTTCACGGAGGAGGAGGAGGAACCTTTTGTATCTGAAAGTCTACAACACAACTGTTTTTCCGCTCGTTAGCCACACCGTCAGTGTAGCCTTAGCAGTGCCGGATCCTGCTGAACTATGCAGTAATGGAAAGAAAGTGCAGATGCTATTTCTTCAGACCGTGTTTGTTGAGAAATAATGTCTCATTTCTTTACGTTTGAACTTGATGTATGATACGTTTTTGTTTTGTTTTTTATTTGGGTATAATTACAATTATTTTGAAAGCCAGCTGAGCTCGTCTCCGTGTTGCTGCCAGCGGTGGCAGACGTCACGTTGACAGCGTTTTGGGATGTCCTGAGATGCAGAGCGTTGAAATGTAATCCACAGTGTTCTTATTAGACCTGTACAGTCTGTGTTACGTGTAGCCTGATACCCATATTTGTGCATCACAGCTCATGTTTCTCCATACCTCTCAAATTGTATTAATTTTTCAGCTATTAACTTATAATGCATTTAGAACTTGGTGGAACCTGATGAAAAAAAAATATTTGCTTGTCAAGCAACTCAAGTTAAGGGCTTCCCATAGACGACTACTGTATTCTACTGTAGCGGAATAACGTATATTAATCCAGTTAAATCACAGTTATGACAATGAGGGACTAGTTTGACATTTTGGGAAATCCACTTATTCTCTTTCTTAGCAAGAGCTTAATGAGAAGATTGATTCCACACACATAGGCTGGTTAAATTAGAGATAGCAACTGGTTAGCTTAGCTTTGTCCAAAGGGAACTAAACCCACTTAGCAGCACCTCAAAAGTGCAATAATTATTTAGTTTATAACATTTTTATGGGGTGTTGGGTTCTCAGCTATTTCTGTGCAGATTAAACAAATAAGTTCTAATCTTGTTGTACAGACAGAGCCAGGCTAGCTTGTTTCACCTGTCTACTGCCTTTGTGCTAAGCTAAGCTAGCTGGCATCTAGCGGTAGCATCTTATTTTAGGTACAGACACGAGAGTGTTTGTGCTAAGCTAAGCAGCTGCTGTGTTTTTATTTAATGTACTGACACAGAAGCCTTTGTAGTTCGCTAAATGAGGCCGTTCCAAGCAGCAGCTTCTCACTTTACATACAGACACAAGCATCGTTATGTTAGCCGGCTGCTAGCAGCAACTTCCTACCTAATGTACAGACATTGAGTCATTTTGCTAAACTAACCAGCTGCTAGAATTAGGTTTTTTTATTTTATGTACAGACATGGGAGCCTTTATGCTAAGCTAAATTAGCCAGCTGCTAGATGTTGCTTCTTAGTGTGTGTAGGTGTGAGTGTTTTGGTGCTAAACTAAGCTAGCTGGCTGCTAGACATAGCTTCTTACTTGGAATTAAGGTGTGAGTGTCTTTATGCCATCTGAGCTTGCTAAGCTAAGTTTTAATTTAATGTGCTGACATGGGGACCTTTACGTTGAGCTAAGCTAGTTGGCTATGAGCAGCAGCTTTTTATTCATGTACATACATGGAAGCCTTTATGCTGAGCTAAATTAGCCAGCTGCTAGCAGTAGCTACTTACTTATTGTAAAGACATGAGCATTTTTGTGCTAAGCTAACCAGCTGCTACAATTAGACTTATTTGTTGTACTAACATGGGAGAATTTATGCTGAGCTACGCTAGCCAGCTGCTAGCCACAGCCCCTTACTGACTGTACCAATGTAAGTGACCGTCTGCTAAGCTAAGCTAAGCTAGCTGGCTGTCAGCAATAGAGTTTAATGTGCAGAAATGGGAGCCTGTATGCTAAGCTAAATTAGCCAGCTGCTACCAGTAGCTTCTTACTTAACTTGTGGACATGACTGGTATCAATCTTTTTGTCTAACACTCATCAGGAAAGCACACAAGTGTCCCAGAATGTCAGAGTAATCCATGCAAGACAACACTGGCATATCAGCCGTTGTGTTCTATATCTCATGTACAGATCAGATCTCATTCTCTGCTGCCTTGTGACCGATCAAACCTGCAGAATACCAGGCGAGCAGACTGTATATGGCATCATATTAAAGTATATTGGCAGTGTACTGTATTTAACGGTGGGCGTTACAGGCCAACATCTTATTTCTTTTTTCCATCGATCATCACAAACTCCTAAACAAATAAAAATCTATAGTTTCCGTGTGCCCTTCATGGACATAGTTACGGCAGCAGTCGCACGTTTGACTGATTTTAGGGGATAGCTGAAGTGCATTTTTTTTAGCAGCAGGCGTTTTTGCACAGAAGTCCAGGTGATGTTTGAGTGCGAGGTCTGTACAGAGGAGGGCTTAGATCAGCCCTGATTCTCCAGGGCCACAGCAGCCTCCTTCCTTCACTATTCCAACACTTGTTAAGCTATGAACGAGTGAGATGAAGCCCAAATACTTTAAGTTCTCCCCGCCACTTTCTGCAGGAAATGAGTAAAGCCCCAGAGGTCGGCTCAAGTCAAAAGAAAAAAACAAGGGGGACAGCGACCGTTTGATATGTTTCCATCCTCCACCTTCTGTATCATGTCGAGGAGTTTCACAGCTCTGACTCTTGGCTGCTTTCTTATGTAAAGACAGACACTCCTCTCTTGCCAGGGGAGATTTTTTACAGACAGACTTTTAAGAGGCCCGAGTCATGCGTGCGTATGTATGATCGAGGGTTTTACAATGTAAATAAACAAAAACAAAAGAAGAAGAAAACTGCTTTGTATTTGTTGCGTTTCGCTGTTTGTGGCGCTCTCTGTAATGATTCCTGTCATCGTTTTAGCCAAAAGCATGATGCTCATGATGACTTTCAAAAGGAACTTTAATTTCTGTTACTTTTCTCTTTGTTTCTTTTACAGAATGTCCAATTACAAACTGTATAATGGCAAAACAATAAAGTGATGACGAGTTGAATATGAAAATTAGCTTCCCATGTTCTTTCAGAAGGCCGCTGCACATACAGTCCAGCTCAACCTGTATGTCCGTGAATTCCCTGATGTCTTGTAAATGATGTTTCGGGCGGCTGTGGCTCAGGTGGTAGAGCGGGTTGTCCTCCAATCACAAGGTTGCCGCTTCCACAGCCGAAGTGTCCTTGGGCAAGACACTGAACCCGAAGCTGCTCCCAATGGCAGGCAGCACCTTGCATGGCAGCTCTGTCACCATTGGTGTATGAATGGGTGAATGAGAAACACTTTCTAAAGCGCTATATAAGTGCAGACCATTTAAGATTTGGGCTGATTCCCTGACTTTTCCTCTGGCACCACCTTGAGGTCGACATTTGTGGTGTCGAGTGAAATGTGTCAACAAGTATGGGATGGATTGCCACGTCCCGGATGAAGCCACTTTTCGTCTAGCACCATCATCACACCAAATGATTTTTTTTTTCTTCGACCAAATACCTGCAAGACATCGCCATTAGCTTCAGCAGTGCTTCAGCTAATTAGCAAATGTTAGCATTCTGTGAAGGAGGGAAGACGGTGCCGTCGTCTGTCACGTCAGCTCAGACCAGTGTTTGTTGTTGCTTTGCTGTTTTGCCTGTCAGGGTGTCTCTGCTTGTTCGTAATCGCCCCGTGTAGGGTATACGTGGAGAAGTGGTGGCGAGAATTAGGGCTTATCTGTCCTCTATTCTCATAGATTAATCGTAGCAACTGAGTTCCTTGAAGACGTTCCACCTCTCGTCCAAGAGGCTTCATCAGTTCTGACTGACTAGTTGGGAGTTCCACATACTGATATCCTAAAGGAGCCATTAACACCTGAGTTTCAATTGGGGGTTTGTTGCTGAGAGGTGGAACATCTTCAAGGAACTCAAGCAAAGTCCAGTTGCTACGATAAATCTAACCACGACCTGGACGACTGAGAACCTTCACAGACATGTCTGTCTTCTAGTACGACTGACTTTTTTCCAGTGGTATAGGATCTCAGGCGTCGGTGGCTCCCACCCTACTTGGCAGATCTCTTACATTTGTATACAGGGTTCGAGCACTGAGATGCTCCTGACTCCTCTGCAGAGCTGCTGGGTTCAGCCGTAAAGACATTCAGACATCTGGAGGAAGCTCTGATTATAACTGTTGTGCTTTAATACCAAAAGAACCAGCTGAGGCTGCTTGGCCAGCTGATTCTGTTACCGGACACGTCCAACTGGGAGGCGACCCAGGGGTAGAACCAGAACTTACTGTGTATCTCAGTGGCGGGCCGTGCATTTCACTCCTAGGCCTTCAGTGGCGTCCTACCTGAATCAATGGCTAATGCTGATGTCTGTGAAGATTCTCAGTCATCCAGGTCATGGTTGCTCTCATAGATTAATCGTAGCAACTGGACTGAGTTCCTTGAAGACGTTCAACCTCTCGTCCAAGAGGCTTCATCAGCTCTGACTGACTAGTTGGGAGTTCCAGATACTGATATCCTGAAGGAGACATTAACACCTGAGTTTCAATTGGGGGTTTGTTGCTCCTCCCACTTGTTATGTGAGTCGTTAGTGCTCCCCCTGACACAATGGGGTTCGTTACAGTCTTTTGTGGCTAGGTGTGGATGTGGTTTCATCTTCCTAGAGAGAGATCTTAGGACTGATAAGTATCTGGAACTCACAACCAGTCAGTCAGAGCTGATGAAGCCTCTTGGATGAGAGGTGGAACGTCTTCAAGGAACTCAAGCAGTTGCTACGATTAATCCACCAGGAGCAACTGGAAAATGTTAAGAGATGTGCTAAAAGACGCGTTTAGCCTGCTGCCACCAAGACCCAACCCTGGATACCACAGATTTTCTTCCAAACCCTGTCAAGAAAATGGACGTATGGATGATGGATGGATGGCGGTCGTCTATCTTTATACACACTGTATGGTCTCAGCTGTAGATCCTCCATCTGGACATCAGGGACATAATGAGTCAGTCGCCTCCCAGCTTTGTGGGAGATGCCCGTAATGTGCATGTGCACCTGTCAAAGTGTTAATTCCTGGTTTTGTCCTTCTCAGTTTCCGAAACGTTCAGCGTCTGGTCGGCTTGCGATCACATGACCAAGCCTGTGTTGTGGTGTCTCTCAAATCCGCTTTACGAGCTCTCCAGGTTCCCCCCCGAAGAAAATTCTACGAAACCAGAAGAGTTTCTATTCCTGAGTTATGGCACAGTTGGCATCCCATAAGTGTATGTGTGAGAGTCAGCTCAGTTGATGTAAGTATAGGTTAGCTCCATAGTACTATAATTAGGGCAGTCTTGACACTCAGCTATGCATGCAGGATCAGTGGTGAAGCTCTAAGACATAATCCAGACCCTGGTCCAGTAGGAGACTCGCCACCAGTCCGACAGGCCACAAATACTCCGGGATGGCATTTGGAGCTGCTTTTAGCGCAAGAAATTTCCTTTAAATGGTGTTACTTTCACCATGGCTTCATTCAAAAACACATATACTGTGAATGTTAGTTTCTGTTGTGCTCATCTCGTTACTCAGACGAATGTTTCTTGTCCTCTCATGTAGTAAATGATAACAATGCTGTGGACTCTGTTTAGACTATCCTGAAACATCAATTGAAAACGATGGATGGACTTAAAGAAGAAAGAAAACAAGCCACACAAGTTGTTTCTACCAGCTCAGACATCACCATCCAACAGAGGCAGGAAGTAACGAAGTACAAATACTTCATTACTGTACTTCAGTAGATTCTGCAGGTATCTGTACTTTACTTGAGTATTAATTTTTCTGACGACTTTTTACTTTCACTCCCTACATGTGAACACAAATATCTGGACTTTCTACTCCTTACATTCTCAAAACTTGTTTCACCCTCCA